AGTAGTGTGNGNGNGNGNGGNGGGGGGGGGAGAAATAGATATATAACTGCATCCCATATAGAGAGACGGAATATCGTATATTTGTATTTTTATGTGTTATATTTTCCTAAGAGAAAGGAGAGCTAAGTAAAATTGGTCGTTAGAAATGTTTCTACCTACAACCCACGCTTGTGATTTTAAGGAATAACTTAAATGATGAGTTTGCCTTTAGATTCATTTACATGATTAACTCACAAGGGCTTGTCATGACAACAAACAGCAACCAGCTCGGGGCGCGCACCCGGATTGCGCTCTGAAACGGTATTCATATAGACATACCTATCATTCTCCACACCGGCTCCGTTCGGTTGCCACGATGGTTCGGGGAAAGGAACTGTGTAACATAGTTCTGATTGAGGTCGTTGAGCCTGCATTAGCATTATTTCAAGACGTCTTTGGTTCGCGACAGGCATACAGTGGTTCATGTTCATAACTGGATTAGAAAGATGTGCATTGAATTCACCATAATATTCGGGGCTTCCCATAGGCGCTGGTGCAAGCGTATTAGTAACATATGATCTAGCTTCAGCCTTAGGGTTCCTAGGCGAACTCTCATTGCCACGATTTTTGCGCTTCCGCACGTATTTGCAGATGACAAAACAAATGACAATCAGTAATAGACCAGCAATGAAAGCTGCACAAATCACCAAAGTATTATTCTTATAAAACGGAAGGGGCATAACGTTTTGAGAGGGTATTGCAAAGTCACATAAGATGGTACTTGGAGCAGTGTTTTCATCTGTAATAGCAGTCCGATAGCCAGGATCGCATAGACAGGAGTTCCGTGAAGTCCATCTACCATGCACACAGGTGCGATTATCGTGCAAATCTTCTGCCGCCGGGTTTTGAGTAATAGGCATGTTTTTGAGTTTAATTGATTATCGGAGATACCTGAATCACTTTTTTTTGATGTACAAGTTTTCTTGAAAAAATGAATCCGTTCGTTTTGTAGTAACATTTTAAAGTGAAGCAAAAGAGGAATTGAATATTTATAATAATAGTTACATTTGATAAATCAGATTAACATACGAAGCCTATAGCTATCTTGAGTGGATTGTTAATTCAAGAAGGGTGAATTTACCTCCAAAAGTAACCTTGAATGCATTGAAATACATGAAGTCTTTTGAGGAATAGCAAAAGCATAGAAAAAGTTGTGACTTATAAATACTATCACAACATTCAAAGAGTAAGAGGAAATGAATAAATGGAGACTTGATCGAAACAGAAGTTTCAATACAAAACCAGAACCTACATCATTCCTCTTCAAATGATCCTCCTGTTTTATCATTTAAGACCTCCTAGCAATACAGATCCTCGCCCTGGCATGACTATTATGGCGAGTTTGCAGCGTTGGAGTGACAAGGTGAGCTTCTGCACGTGGAGCGCGGGAATTTCAAGTCTACTATCCCTTACTTCTAGGATCTTTACAACGTGTTTTTCCCTTCGCTCTAGTCCTTTAGCTACCTTTATAGAAGTACGTTGGTAGGATTTCGCTTGCGATTCACACATAGTGGACAATTACCATTGCTTAGTAACATCGGGCGATTACCATGCTGTACCTTTTGAAGGCGATGTTAGTCCATGATACAATTTTAGCAGTATCGTTCTTGCAGTTATTGCGAAATTCTTGAATTGTAAACGATAATAAGGGCCAACGCACGGTCTTACGTGCGTCTTAAAGACCTTCATGCATCTTAGACAACTTTTAAACTTGCAAAACACCCTAACTTCTACACACAATTAGCAAAAAGGTTTACGTAAAAGAGGCACATAAGTATAATAGTAATACGTGGGTAAAGATCAACAAGAATAATGGACACAGTTGATACTTAATTAAATACTTTTTATTTACTTATAAGAGGGATAAGATAAGAAGATAACAAGCATACTCATAAAGAAAGAGCAAATCAACTTTTGACATGGCTGGAGTTTCAAGCAAACAAGCCAAAAAACAACAACAACAACAATAATAATAATAATAATACAATGGGGCATCAAAATAACTCAGCCCCCTCATTTCCTCCCTTCTTTAGGCTCTTCTGTTATCACCAAGTAACATCACTTGACTTCCACGGCACAGGGCGATGTGCGGGAGAAACGGATGAAGCCTGGCCGCACTCAGTGCGTGGTTCAATCCACTAAACCGCTGCGACCGCGTGGGGTTCGGATGAAGACCCCACTCGGCCAGCGTCACACCATCCTCATCGATAATAAGAGAGCGTAGACGCCTGCTGAACGGTTGCACATCTATAACACTTGGGGCAAGAGCCATGTTGCTATCTGGGAACTCGTGGCTGCTTTCTCCCATGTAAGAATCCCCTGCGCTTGTCGTGTGAGGTTTATGGTAGTATACATTAAGGGGATATTTGCTGTAGCGATTATCCCAGAGCACCAGTGCTGCGCAACTGGAGGACGGCTTCGACAAAAAAGAGGAGGACACCTCTGGAACGCTGTATCTTTGTTGAGACTGAAACCCAGACACAATGAGGTTGGCAAAGCGACAGGAAAAATGCGTGTGTGAGCATCGCCAAGGGATATCCTTTATGTACACTGTTGAGGAAAAGTCAAGTTGCTCAACTGCCTTAGGCCCAGGCCGACGCCGGTCATACAGGTGAATGGATGTCGCGGCCCCTACTGCAAACAACGAATCATCGTACGGATGGGAAGCAAGCACAGAAGGTGGTCCCAAAAGATATTCACCGCATCCATAGCCCCTTAGAGTCACTCGCTCACAACTTAAATCCCATGACATCACGGCGGGATCTTCATCTCCTGAATTACATAAGTAGAGCAGTTTGGATTGATCTTGGTAGCTAGACAAGCAACCATGACCTGGAGAGAGAGCAGAGGGAGTAATCGGTGTAGGAAAAGATGGGTTGGCAAAGTCGAATGTGGAAAGAGAGGACGAGGTACAAAAGGTCGACACGCGCCGCACAGTCCCATTGTTCTTGTAGCCGGAGAACAGCTCCACGACACCAGTGCGATGTACTGCACACAACAAGGGCTGATACGCAACATCCACAAAATGAATCCCATCGATAGGATCAATGCATGACCTTGAATGTGGTAGTGAGGACCCGTTGGTAAACGGAAATCCAAAATTATTTACAGCAACCTCATCCCCCACTCTTAGACACTCTGAGTCTACGGAGGAGTTCCAAGGAGTGCTGCTGAAGGTATGCTGTAGTTGTGCACCCCGTGGCACGACAGAGAGGGGCCGTGCCAAAACTGTATCAGTCTTGAAGCACGCTGTCATCCTTAGCAAATCCACAGATGGTTGATTTGACGTTTCGAGACCTCCGCTGTTAGCCGTCAACGCTGCCGAATAATCCCAGCATTGAATCACGCCGCAGTCGGTTGAGGCAATGAAATCTGGAATGATCGGGTGGAAAAGGAAACGCTGGATACGTCCCACCTCTGTTGTTGATCTTGATACTGTATTTGTACCAAGTAACTTCACTCGAAATGAGCCTTCCGATGTTGCTTCCTGCTTACTATGGACATTTTTAGTTCGATTTGAGCAAGCAGAATTATCACATAGATCTACATTCGTTGATGCATGCCTCTCTTTTTCTTGCTTCTCACCCTCTAGATACCCTGAAGTGGCGCGTAGGAGCTCAGTCGCGGGTTGCAACACATCACCGCTGATCTCCCTGGCTAACACTAGCATGTATGCGTGCAGATAAGACTCACTCTGCTGACTAAATGGGTTGCGTGGGTCATAGTCGTCTGGTTTTATCAGCAACAAATCACCGATATAGCTGAGCGAGGTGTACACAAACATCGACACAGTGGTATTGTCCTGTGCAGAGAGTGCCCGCAATGTAATATTTTCTGGAAGCATAGCACTGTATATTGCATTGCTGTTATTCGCATTGGCTTCAGCATCGCTGCCCTGGAAACAGTCACGTGAAGTTGTATAATTTGACAAGGGAGGCTGGGGTTTGAGCCTGTTATTTTCGTCACTAGAGTTATCACAGTATTGGGTTCCATTCTCTTCATTATCAGGCTTGTTACCGCCAGTGCCGACCGTATGATGAACCTGTTTGCGCATTTTTTTTACCTTGTCCATCGACTTGTAAAAAAGTTTCGCAGTGTTATGTCTTCGAGGTTTATCGGTGGAAATGGTGTCATCCGTGTCATTCTCCAGGTAATTCATACTGGTTACGGCGCTGCTGTTGTAAGGATTTTGCTGGTGATACACATGGGCCAAGCTACTTCGCGTCTTCTGGACAGCACTTCGGCTCCGGCTACCCTGAGCGCGATAAGTACCACCGGGTCCTTCACACGTATCCACAGAATGAGAAAACACAGTTGATTCAACGGCTGTGCCGATATCAACGAGTGAGGGGGGTGCATCCTCTAGAAGAAACGCCATCTCCTCCAGGGCAACCTTGCATGCATGAGCAGCAACGTATGGACAAGGATCGTGTGTAAGCTCCACAACAAAACGCACAAGATTGCTAAGAGGAAAAAGCACCTGTGACTCCAGAACAGAGTGCCCGGGCTTTGTGAACGGAGGCTCAGAGATGCGTAAGGATTCTTCAATTAAGCTAGCTGACGGTGCAATGTTGACCTTAAAGCTGTGGTTATTGTGAGGGTTATAGACCCCCTGTGGATTTCGTGATTCAGGAGGAACCCCACCAAATGAGAGGCGAGACTTAGAGAAAGAAACTGATGTAGGAGGTTTTGAGGGCAGAGAAGGGATTCCATGGGGATGTATCCCTGCCATCGCGGCATGTTTTGATGCGGGGCGCGGCAGGCAACCCAGAGAATCGGCATTCTCAACGTCGCTATCTTTTTCGGTCTCTTTCTGCCTCACGAACTGTACGGCATCGTATTTATATAACCACTGAGTGACGTAGGATCTAATCTCATCTTGGGACATATCTTTGCTGGCCTCTTCCAAGAGGAACTTGTAAACCACAAGTGCTACACCTACAACCTCTAACCGCAAGTCCGTGTTCCCTTCAAAACGAAGGCTACTTGCACTACTAAGCTGAGAGAGGAGTGAAGCCGCAAAGCGCCGCTTCGTTGCAACATCTGTGGCGGGTGATATGACTATTATAGATAATGCACGCAACGCAGTGCCGCGCAGCACCGGAATGGAGCTGTAAAGAGTCTGCTCCAAGGCACCCAGCGCGACCTGCAGACCCTCCTTAAGATTAGATGCATTGGTCGATTTCAATGACCCTTGTTTTTCCTCGATATCTTCCAAAGAATTATGTGCCATTTCCGTATCATCGTTGACAGTTCGCCCTTCGTCCTCTTTATCTGGAGGCGGAGACCAATTATGCAGTAATGCCACAAAAAGTGCCATGAGTGCCATACGGTACAGCGTTGTCACGGTTCGCCAGTCCACATTGTGCAATGTCATAGGGGACTGTTTCTTTTGGAAACTATCAAAGTTATCACATGTTGGATCATATTTTACCCTCATGTGAGGTAAATCGAAAGTGTATGCTAATGATGGGGAAAGGTGAGTTTGGTTGTGTTTCTGGTCCTGCTGCTGTTGCTGAGGGGCTGATGGTAGGAGGTCATTGATGTCGTCGTGCAGGTAAACTTCTTCTAGGAGTTGGCATACCAGTTGAAAGGCTCCATAGCGATGGCAAGCATCGCGGGCGTCGTCACTGTGGATAGCCAGCATAGCCAGGATAGAGCAAGCCAACAGTCGCTGCCCTCGTGGAGTGCTATAAAAGCCTAGCAGCTTCCACTGCCAAGCACCCGATTCCAAACCAGCTGTTGTTGCACACTCTGCAGCTGAAAATGATCCCGTTGTGTTAGCACCATGAACCTTAATCGGACACTGGAGGACTTCTACACATGCCTTGATAACACTACTGCATTGCCCTGAAGGGCCTACAAGACCAGGATCCACGTAGTAGCTCTTGCTGTAAATAAACAACGTTGTGGGCATCAAGAAACGTAAATCAGGACGTTTCCAATAGTGATCAAGAACAACACGATAGATATTGGCCTCCGCACACTGCAGTATGGCCGGGGCGCCGGCATCCACCAAGCGGCAAACTAGAGCTGTCGCCCTCTCGCGGTAGGCCATAACGAGGAGACCCTGCAGAATGATAGGCATTCGTTTGATAAAGGGGAAGGGCGTCGGTACACCACTTGCTAGCGTGTTGTTAGCTGAAGATGAGGCCCACATATTGCCGACGTACTCGACCGCAGGTGTCACGGATGCGGACCCAGCGGCAACTGAAAAAGGTTTAGATGTGGCGGCAATCGAGTAAGACTTCGTTGATAGGGTAACGTTACTGTCGTCCGCATGCTCAGCTGCTTTAATACCCAAGTGATGTGAAAAAGGTGACAGCAGTGGCATTGATGCTCCTGGTGGCTCATACCAATACTTATGTTTGCTATAATCAACTGACTCGATGTAGTCCTGAGACCCCCTTTGCCAGGGCTTCCGTTTTAAATAACGCAACGATTGATTTTCATACTGAAAATGTTTCCACCTTGCGGAGCTGTTTGGAATGGGATTATGGGCTGAAAATATGCGGGCAGAGCCAGCATTCGAGTTAATGCCCTTTTGGAGTGCTTGAGAATTCCATTTATTTGTGAAATGATTCATCTCATGTGTATGTGGTGTGAGTCGTTTTTTGCCTGTAATTGGCATACAGAACGACTGCGCTGTCACTTGTTCTATTATCGCATCAAGACCTTGAAACTCTTCCAGCAAAAAGTCTGGAAGAGTCAAGGGGCGAGTTTCATCCAGGATCGGCAGCCTAGGTAATGCGGTTCCGTGCAACTGCGTAGAAACGCCATCCTGTGTGTACTTCCACTTCGTTGCTCGCACATCCAGCCACTCGCGAAACTCAAGCGTTGTCAAACATGTTGGAGGTGCCGGTCGTACAAGTTTAAGAACTGCCACGAAGGACCTCTCTAACAAATTTTCCCAGGAGTCCCAGATTGGGTGGTCGTGCGTAGGGGTCAGACGTGGATACACACTCATAGTTCCACCCAACCCCCCTACAATCACGTGCTCTGCAAGCAGATAGCCCCGAAATAGTGGAGCCACATAGATGTCCTCGCGAAAGAGTCGCGAGAAAGTAGATAGCGGAAAGCTAGACCAGGCAATGCATTCTGTGATACATTGAAAATACCACTGCAGCTGGCCCAATGGAGTCTTCTTATCTTGGAGTGAACCGGGCAGAACCTCGAGCAAAATAGGATGCACATCTATTAAGTCGTGACGTTTCACCATAAACCACGTCATGGCAAGCCGTAAAGGTGTAGTGAGACAGCTCGTAAGAATGTCAGATGGCAGACGATCGTGTTGTGACAGGGCACCTTGACTGCCACCACATCCTGACGCACCGATGAAGAAAAAGTCGTCGAAGACAGTGGCTGTAGTGGAAAGAGATGACACAGTGGGAGCGTGCGGCAGACCTGCACCTCCCAATTTAGGTGCTGTATAGTTCATCGTGCTCACAGAAACGCCCTTACCACCATCCACCATAGTATCCAAGTCTGCGGAACTCACTGGACGACTGCCAGACAACACAAGTTGGTGCTCCCGTGACAGGAACTGATGCTGTTGCTCTTGCTCCTCACGCTTCAAAATGAAGTCCTCAAGGATCGCTCCCGCATTGGCACAATCCGCGATAAATACAAGAGGAAACCCCACCCTTGCTCTTAGTGTATCCAAAGACATATTGCTAAGGGGAGGGCATGAACTTGCACTGGATAAGAAATTCATGAGGAAAATGTTTCCATTTCGTGCCTTCGGTACGCCACGGGCGTAGTAATGAAAAATAACCTTGGAGGTACCGGCTTCTTTGCGCGCCTTATCAAGGGCTTGACCGAGGTCCACTGCTCGCTGATTGAGACAGCTAGTAGTGATTAGGGGTCTTGATGCAAGTGTATGGTACTGTTCTTTAAGCTGCTCGCTTAGCTGGGGTAGTATTGAGTCCGCATCGCTTGGCATAGATTGCGGGGACTGCCACATAAACAACGGAACTATACGGCTCGCAGCGCTATCCATATCGTTAGATGTCCATACACCGGCCTCTGTTTGTGCTTTCACACAGTGTCCAGCGGCAGAATCCTCAGCAAAGGAAGGTATCACAACGTCGGTCGTGTCCAGCAAGCTGGTATCCATATTGAGTGAAATACACAAGCTCTTGGTGTGTGACATCCCAAACATGGTTCGAGAGGCGATGGAGTTGGTACGGTATGAGGAACCACGGCACAACAAGGCTTCATCCCAACGATGATGATGTAGCCCTCGATGCAGCCAAGCTTCCTGAACTGAATGGCCTCGGCGCTTCCTTTCATTTCGGAGCACAGTTGCGTCACAGAAAGAGACCATTGAGCTAAACCCAGTGCGTGCACCAGATGCGTTATTCTCATCTATATTTGTTTCAACGCCGGCAGGTGACCCGCCTACAGTAGTGCATAACTGAGGAGACACCAAAGAGGAGCTTTCACAATCGAAACGACCAATGCTATGCACTGGCAGTAATTCTGGCAGGCCTTTTGGAGTCGGGATTGTATCGTTGGAGGGCAAAGTGCTAAGTTCCGCAGTGGTTCGCGTTGTTCTTGAGTTTCTCACATCATCTCCGTGCAGCAATTTCCACAAGTCCCTATCAGTCAACTCTGATATATCCTCTGCGGTTGAAGATAGCGGCAGGAATGAAAGTAACGTCTTGCAGGTATCCATTTCGTTCTAATGTTGATAGTTGATACCTACCGGCATGAAGAACAATCACACACTAAAAGCTTAGTATAAGAACAGGGAAAGGTGTTGATTTCCAGAATGTTGGAGATACACATTTTGTGTATGCATTACAGCTTTCTAGTCTCAATTTATCAATCAATCAGGTGTTCTTTCATATTAAGAACTACTTTTCTCGACATTAGTGATTATGATGCATACTAGCACAGAGCATTAGTGTGATATTTTTATCACACACATTTTTGTTTGTCTCCAATAAATCAAACGAAGATACACCTGAGATACATCGAAAAAGGAAAAGAAAGTGAATAATTAAATTAAAACGAACTATGTATTATACACATGTAAAAATTGGAGTTAACGGCCATGCACTTCTAAAAGCGGAAAAAAACATTCTTCAAAAGAATACACTGCGACTTAAAGAACGTTAAAGCATAGCGATAGTTTCTTTTTACATGTGCTATGAAACGATAAGCCTTTGTAAAGTCGCACTTATTTACAATTTTTGGTCGAATAACTCCTCCCTACCATCTGTCATTTAATGTCTTTTTTATATAAAAATAAGGAAAAGTAGCCATTATTATCCCATTTTATTATATGCAAACACAATCCTAGTTTGAGAAAAGGTAGTAAATTAGTCCACGCTCCCAAGTCTCCATGTTCACTTATCTACACATGTTTAGGCTAAGCATGTAAAAAAAAGGGGATCGCGGCAGGATAAAAACTACCTTTTCAAAAAGCAAGAGATTTCAAAATTTTCAAGTGTGACAATCTAACATTTCATCATTAAGTCCTTGAATATACATATGGGCATGTATCTAATGGATGAGAATTCAAATTTCCTTCATTTTAAGCGAGTTTAATTTTTTCCCCTTGTAAATACATTACCTTTTTGTTCCCTACTCAATAAAAGAATGAAAATGAGAAATGGGAGGTCCCTTCATTCACAATACCAAAGACTATAAAATGGATCCTATACACTCAACATAAGCCATCATCACACCTAGAATAGGTACTGTTATAAGCGATACTGATGATTGCCTATGGAATCACGCGCCTCAAGTGTGTCCACAGACCAGCCTGTCGGAATTCCCGATATAAAAAGCACTGTTTCCCCAGGATAAACATCAATTTCGCACAAGTACTTGCCAAAGTCATCCTCATGACCTTCTTGTGGATCATCAATACGAATCGCTGAAGTATTGCCAAGTGGTGCAATTTGAGAGTCGTAATCAAAAAGGATGCCAACATGGATAATAAGATCACCGCTATCGTTGTAGAATGCCCATTGCTTGAGATCTTTGTCAGTAATACGGTAGAGTAGACCATTAAACATCGGATAGATGTGGTCTCCAGTCATGGTCGGCTTGCCATTTTTGAATTTATGAGCTGCATTCCCCTTAGAGGCACAAGATCCCATTTTGAGCTATCCCTCCTCCTTTTTATCTATAGGCTACTGTTATTATAATGATCCTTACTATATTGTCAAAGAACGAGGTATACCAAATCGTCTCCTGACTTAGGAAAATAAACTATGAGTATACCAAAGCAATATGAAAGCCTTTCTTTTTTGAGAAATACTAACTTTTAGAAGTATGAAAATTATACGCATATAAATTGCACTGCCATTTCATTTTAAAGACTAACCCCACTCCTTAGAATTAGTTTAGCAATTCAGAAACGATGTATGATATTAGTAGTCAGCCTATTTAAACAACTGCACACTATGAAGAAATAAAAGTACAATACTATTTGTTTTTCGCAGAAATATATTATTATACGATGAAGCGGAGTGCTCGATATTTCGAACGAAAAGTAGATAAATTCTGAGCATTCCGCTGTGATTTAGTCCGTTGGGAGGACATTTCAAAGAACAAAAATAGCATAAAGATTTTAATAACAAACAGAAAACAATAATTCAAAGAAATATGTATCAATAGATATATACATATCAATAAAGAAATAAGAGTTACAAAACGGATGCATGGAACTGAGGTAGACAAGGATCCGTGGCCATCTCAATCGCATATATGCGTGTAAGAGAACCCCAGTAGCACTTTATAGATTTGTAACAAGTTTAAACAGAGAGAGTCAAAAATAATAAAGTAGGGAAAACCCCAAAAAATAACTAAAGCATGTCAGAAAAATAATAAAATAATACATAATTTCTAAAAAAAAACTATAGCACATAAATATCAGGGGAAGAAGTATTTTAGTTTAGTCTTAATTTACTAAAAGAAGTCAATTTCAGTATGCTAACAAAGACATCAGAAACACAGATATAGGTCTTTTATTTAGCACATTCACGATATGAGCGCGCATCTCCTTAATTTTCAAAAAGGTAGAGCAAGCAAAGTGTTAAAAGGCTTTATTATTTTGCGGATCTAGTCGAGTGTTATACTTCATTTCGTCTATTTCCGGATTCATCGCGAAGTACTCTTCTGACAAAGGCAACGCTTCCAATTTGCTTTCAAATCCGTCAATGACTCCTTGAACAAAAGGTTTCGCCTCAAACGGGAAAAGATGAAGTTCACATTGAAAACCATCGTCCATCATCTCCATAGAGGTTTCATCTAGCGGATTGATAATACTATTGGGACCGAAAAGATATCTGATGCGAAATTCATAGTCTTTGGTATTGCTTAGGAATAGCCATGCGCCCTCTGTTGGGTCGAAGATTCGATAAACCAATCCGTTGAAAAGCGGAGTTTTCTGCATATGATAAAACCTGCTACTGCGCAATAGAGGATTATCCTTCTTACTTTGTGTCATTTTAGAGTCTGATGAACCCATCCTTTAGTAATTTTTCTATTGTCACGATTCTTTCCTTTAAGCAGGATACTAGTGTAGAAAAAATCATGAATCCAAACAGGAAAAGAGAAAGGAGTTGCAAGATAACTTTGTGATGAAATGACTTTTAACATTTTCAACTACTCTAGTTTCCTTTTTTTTTCTACAATCCCATAAAAGACGCTAAAAATGTCTGTTCGACGATTTAATCTGCTGATTTCAGCTGAGATCCATTGAATCCTCTCAAATCGGAAAAAAAATGTGATTCAAGGCGACCCATAAAAATGGTTTCCCGAACAACAGAAAGGTTGGTACAATGTGCTCTTCATATACTTAGATCCCTGATTGGTAAGATCGCAATATTCATTACCACGAACTTCAACTCTAGTTATAGGTTTAAAATAGATTCTATGAATGAAGGGCTGAAAAAGGAGTACCTATGCTCCGAAAGCACAAAAACTTTAGCGAGCGCCTCTCTCTCATTGATTAAACTACAAGTTTGTAACAAGCCAAAAAAGCAGAAAAATTATCGAGTAAATTTGAGTATTTAACATTTTATGCGTCAAGGGAAAGATAACTCTTAAAGTCATTGGATAGAAATAAATTGATTCAATTGGTAAAGCCTCAAGTGAATCTAAAACGATATAACACACAAAAAATGCACATAAAAAACACTATGGAAAAGTAGCCTTTTCGTGTCGCAAGATATCTCCCTACACTAAAACCCTATTAACGCAAAGGAAATACGTAAGTAAGCAGTAATTGCCTAAAATATCATGTCATAGCAGCAGCTCTGTATCTAGACACAGGAGAAAAAATAGCATAGATTCACTCAGAGTTATTGAATATCGTCTATTTTTTACCTCCAAAGGCTTCCTTGCGGAAAATATTTTTAAGATGTTTTCACCAATCCGGCACATATACATTAACTTCACACGAAAATATATTTTCCTATATAGCACCCCATACACTTTTACAGTAAATCTGTGGATTTCCGATACATTGTAGTTGTTTTGTTTCCCTGATGACCCCCAAACAGTGTCTTGAATTTTTTGAACAAAGCATAGTTAAGGGAGAAAAAGCTGCATCATTAAATGAAGGAATAAAAAGAGGATTCACAATATCACCCAATAAAAGTAGATAGATATTCATTGAAATTAATGATCTTACATCAACTAAAAAAAATAAACATTGCGTAATTTTCAGATTGAAAGCAACTATATGAAACACAATATTAATACACCGATATGTTTAAAATACATGCACACACGAACAGCAAAATCTCAATCCCAGGTCGATTATAGTTCGCTTTTTTCGAAGATGATATGCGACTTATATAGCATCCAGATTACTAGCAATCAAGAGTTTCACAGTGAGAGGGGACCGAATGGAAAGCGAAAATAAATGAATAATATAGACCAAGAAAGTCAATGAATAAAAAAATGATGAATATGCACAGCGCTAAAATAGACCACCATTAAATAAAATAGTATTCTGTTCTCTTGTGAATTTTTCCCCAAGATGAATCTCGGTATTTGCTTCCCACATAAGGCACTACCAACACTTGAAACGTGTGCTTACCCATCCATGTTTGGATGAAATTTGACTGTTCCAAACTCTATTAGTTGGAGGTTATAATAGATGTGCCAACGTAAACGTCAGGGAAAAACTGATCGACATTTTTAACCTGAAACTCTGTCTCCACTGGCATTGTTTCGCAACGGGCCTTTTGAAAGTTGTCAAAGACACGGCTTTCAGGTGCAAGAGCACGGAAGGCTACACTTGCACAAGAGGACTTGCTTCCAATCTCATATGGACTTATGAGACCAATTACATATGGTAACTGCGCATACGTAGACAATGCGCGTGGAATGATCAAGTATGGAGATCTTTCGGGTAAGAATTCGTAAAACATGCTTACACTGTAGCTCTTCACAAAAGTGAATTCTTGTACTGGGTGTTCAGTATCAAAAGAGCTGTTGAGATCAATGCCTATAATCGACGCATCTCCATTTCCGTGTGCAACGCTTATCATAATGGGAGAGTATTCAACCTTGGTCGTACCCTGTTTGTCGTCCTGTGTAAGGATGATACTCATGACCATTGGTCTGCTGACAGCAATCTGCAAACAACAGGTTGGTACATTTTGGAGGAAGCAACCACGAATGCGGTAGTCATGCATGGGACTCTGGAGAAAGCAAACGCCGCAGCCGATGAAGTACTTCTGAACGTCCGCCCACTCCATACAGAACATGTTGTCGTCCTGTTGGCTTATTTTAAAGTATTCAGCCGCTTGAGGGTGTTTAGTCCATTTGATGTCATTTTTGCTCCACGGGACCGGAGTTTCCGGCCGACCCTTTGCCCACACATTGCGGAGCTGCACCATGCGCAATCTAGTACTGGGAAAGTAAGCCATTTTATAGACAGCATAACAATGTCCAAGAAGCAAATTAGCGTTCATGTATAGGTTCTCGGCTTGCTGAATTGTGGTGCACTGCTTGCCAACACGGGAGGCCATGATGGTTTTATGGGTGGGTGTGGTAAATACGATCAGGTAATTATTTGCGCAATACTGCGACAGATAATCAAAGAAGTTTGCGGACTCATCGGCGTTGGTTTTAATCAGAATATTATCAAGGGGGGTGCATGGAAAACCGGTAATGTCCTGTAAAGCATGAAGGGGATCGCCTGACATGAGGAACCCGTAGCCACCAAACACTTTTGCATAAGCCTTCTGAAGAATAGATACCCATATCTCCGCAGGGTCCCCTTTGGTGCGTGCAAACGCGGGCCGGCCGCCAAACACAGGGAGATAGTCATCCACCACGACATTAATCCACCAGCCATCCTTATTCAGCGTCACACGGTAGATGCCCAGGCTCCGCTCCCGCTTACCTTGCTCCAGACTCTGCGGATGACGGAAAAGATCACGGATCTTGTCCGGAAATTCCGCCAATGCGGCAATGGCGCCAATGAGCCAGGAATCACCAAGCTCACCCTCATCAATGTTTTTGGGATGCACACCGTTTCGAAAGAGTCGACATTGCTGTGTGTTTGCATCCGAAAGATACATACTGGGGCGCTCCCAAGGTAATAGTTTTAGCTTCGCTTGGGAGCCAATTTGTAGCGACCTTTGCTCTGGTGGAAAGAAAAAATCGACGAACTTGATATTATGTTGAATGCATGCGTTTACCATCTGCTCGATGGACGCATTTTTGCCCGTAATTTTATACAAACTTGCCGTTTCCTTTTTGATTGTGGCTTCATCCTGCTGCGCCACGTCACGAAGATACTCTTCAGGAAGGGGCTGCAGACGAACATTGCTGCTGTACCCATTCACAGTACCTTCTATAAAGAGTTCTGTTTCCATAGGATAAACATTCACTGTGGCACGGAAAGATCCATCATTAAGCTTCTCAAGCGTTGTATTGTCGAGGGCATTGATGGACGAGTGTTCTCCAAATGTGAATTGTATGCATATTTTGGCATCGAGGGTATCATTGTAAAAAGACCAACGATTGTTATTATCTTTTTCAACAATGCGAAATAAAATCCCCTCAGTAAAGCAGCTTGTAGTTTCACCACTATACAGAGGCTGACCCCATTTATATCCTTCTTTGTTTGTGCTGAGAAGTGTGACAGTTTCCTCGTCAAACTCGTCAGCCTTGGTGTTGGTGGACATTAGTTGTTGTTTGTTTTGAACCTCCCAAGAGACAAAAAATGCAAAGCAATATTACAAATATTTATGCTTTTTGATACTAAACAAAGAAGAAAATAGACATAAATTTAACATAAAATTATAATCATCATATAAGTACACACAGCTCGCAGTTACATATTTAGCCGTTTCCCATCTTTTTTTTCATGTTGCTCAAGCCTGAAAAAGGTTCTAGAACATATAACAATATAATCGCTCCGAGAAACACATGATTTAGGTTACGTTCAACTTTAAACAAATGAATAAGGGGACAAAAACTTAAATTCATCGCAAAAATGTATGCAAATTCAAGAAAAGATGAGCCTCCGTTTAGTGCATTAACACTATAGTGAATGCTCCCCAGAACCTTTTTCAAAAATTTTAAATATGGATAATGTTTTGTATAATTTCAAGGAATATATATATAAAGCTCAGAGTGTTATTAATCACACATAAAGAAAAAAAAGTATAATTGAAAAATATGGAAGGACTACTTTTTACGTGGAAAAATAAAATAGGGGGATCGATAGATAAGCTTCGTATGTTTTCCTAAAAGCAATATCCTTCTGATGTGAATCAAACTTGGTAACGTTACGGTCAAAGTTAAATCGAGAAAATATGTTTCTACCATTTAATATATATATATATATATACTATAGTAACTCTTAGAATAAATATACCTTTCATGTCTTTGTTTTCTGGAACAAAATAGATAAAAATACCAAGTTTTGATGAATGATATTTCGTTCCGATTTCTAACTAATATGGCCACCATGCTTTTACCAAGATCCACTAAAATTAACATCATAATATTATACCATTACAGCAGTTGAGGAAATTTTAGTATACAGACCAAAAGTCAACAAGCCTTTCACTAGGATCCTGTAGACGCTTGATGTAACGGATAATACATTTTCACAAGTCTTAAATAAGGACTCCTATAAAAACAAGAAAGTGAATCTTCCCGCAAAAATACATCTAAACAAATTAGAGTTGATTAGAAAGATAAAAAATGCAAAGCAAAAACAGCATTTCAGCAAAAAGGGAATTGAGAATCTAAAAAAAGACGCTGACATCACAGATTTCCATGAAAGATGGTCAAAAAAAGCATACAACCACATCATCTTATTGTATGCAAAATCCCATTTCGGTGTCTGGGAACCCAGAACTCGGTAGACGTTTTTGATACTGTACCTCCACCACGCTGTCTTGCAAATCTGGCTGAAACGTTGGGAAATCTGAAAACACGCGATTTTCGCAATCGATAAATTTGAAATTTATCTTTACATCATCGGTCCCCACCTCCTTGTTTGTTATTATGCCCAAAATAAATGGAACTTCATCAGGTTGATTTTCAGTTTTCATCAGGCGCGGGACGACGATATACTTACCAGCGTCAAGTGTAGTGTAGAGAGAAACATCGCGTGCCTGAGTAAAAGACCACTTTTCCGGACTCGGTCGGTATGCATCAGCGGTGGAATTCAGAATAATCTCATACATATTCTCTTTCAATGGGGCTGCAATACTGATCATCACTGGCTGATACTCGATTGCACCTTTGCTTCCGCGCTTGTCTTCCAAAAGAATCATAAACAGAAACCGCGTCTGAGACTTCACTTCGATCTCCAACACCGTTGATGGTACTCGATCGTAAAAAGCGCAGTTGATGCGATAGTCATAGGATGGTTTCTGAGAAAGACACACGCCACCTCCATTAAAGTACTTTAGCAGACTTTCCCAGTCCATCCAGAAGGTTCCATCATTCGACCTCTTGAAGTTGCATGCGTTTGCAATGAGGGGATACTCCTCCCACTTTTTACTCTGATCGCTCCAGTCACCCTTCCACTCGAGTCCAAAACCCCATGCGTTGCGCACTTTCACGAGGTACGTATTGATATCGGCAAAGTGTCTGGCGTCGATAATTGTGTAAGCATGACCAGTGATCAGACCCAGCTGGCGGTATTCCTTAGTTAGGTCATTGTCGCCGTCCAATTTCGGATCCTTACCGGGAGTGTTGAAAACAACGATAGACCCATGTTTTAAAGCATTTTTCACATCGTCAAAGATCTTAATAGCTGAAGAAACAGATCCAAAAAGCGCATCATTAAAGCGAGTACTTGGAAAACCTGTCATATCCTGAATTGCAAGAAGAGGGTCACCGCTGCAGATTGCCCCATAGCCCCCGTGTAGCTTTGCAAACGCCTTCTGGAGAATGCATGGCCAAATCTCAGCATCGTCTACGGCACTGCGAGAGAACTTTGGGCGACCAGCCGATATAGGCAGATAGTCGTCAACAAGAACACTGCGCCACCAACCATTCTTGCTGAACATCACGCGGTACGCACCCACAGAGCGCTCTTGTTGAGCATCTTCCTTTCCCTCTGGATGACGAAACATACCCATCAAACGATTCGGATCTTCCGATACAGAAGCGACTGCGCACATCACCCATGAGTCTCCAAGTTCACCAGGATTTACAACACCAGGCTTCACATGAGTGCGAAACAGACGCACCTGATCGACCATTTCCTCTGGAAGAAACATGGATGGACGGGCCCAGGCAAGAGGCTTTAATGGCTTCTCTGCATCCGCATTGAGTGAGTTCTGACATGGTGGGAATTCAGGATCGACAAAGGGGATTTTACAGACAACACATGCTTGTAGCACTTCTTCCGCATTGTCACTTTCACATACCTCGCGGATCTTACTGATTTCCTCTGCAATATGCTCATCAGTAACACGCTGGCAAGCCCTGTGGTAGTCATCAGAGAGAGGTATGGCACGTATGCTGCTTGTGTAGCCATTCACTGTTCCTTTTATAAACATCTCCGTTTCAATGGGATACACAATCACATCACATTCATACTCATTATTTTCATTTATGCGAATGGTAGTCTTACCCAGTGGCTGGATATTCGAGCGCTTCCCAAAGGTGAAATGGATATGCATTTCATGTTTTAGCGTGTCATTGTAAAATGACCATGTCTTTTCGTCTTGATTGATGATGCGATAGAGGAGATGTGGCTCATCAAAACACGACGTAACTTCTCCCTTGTAGTCAGGATAGCCATTCTTGAACATGTTGTAGAAGGCTTTGCTCTCATCATCGTCCTTATAAACAGGAAAAGCACAGGTTGATATTTCAAATTCATCGTCAGTTTCATCCGCAGGAGTATAGTTTGTGGGTTCCCAGTGATCCACAGGCCTGGGGTTATTCTTGTACTTGACAACACGGATTCGAGGTATATTTACTTTGCAAACCGCCTCATCGGACTCATGATGAACTTCTTCTTTCATTTTTTCTTCCGAGGGGATCTCAAGTTGGCTTATTAGTTTTTCATTATGGACGTGTGGGTGCTGGTACATGGTTTTTTTTTCCTGAACTATATTTAGCAAGGGTTCAGCGTCGTTGTCTGCCTCCGAATGGACTTCTATATTATTTTCAGCACCTTTCTCATCGATTTGGACATCTTGAAGGTGAGAATTATTGTCATTTGACGTTTCAATGTCATCTTTCTGATTAGTCACATTTTCGAGACCATCAGGATTGTGTTTGTTAACTTGATTTAGTTGAGAATCATTCTCAATAATGCATGTGTCCATTACGGCTTAAGATGAATACAGCTATTATGAAAACAAAATAAAATATTGAATGCCTAGTAGTGATTTTACTTCAATTAAACATATTTGAAGGAATAAAATTATTGACAGCAGCATAAAATTTTTGCACCGAGTGATACACATTAAAGATACCATATCATAATCATATACAATGAAATGAGCGTCTCATATATATATATATATATATAACATTCATATAGTCAGAAGGACCACGATAAACGGAAATTCATGAAGAGCCATTTTTTTGTATGCAAATTCGCCTTTTAACAAAGGCATTAATGCAAACAATGGAAAGCAGTATCCAAACATGTATAATACATGTTATTAATGAGTGATAAATCTTTGGGAAACTGAAAAGTATTCTCAAATTTTGAATGGAAATTGTATAAGTGTTTTGAACATAAAATTCAAAAACACCGTCCAATTGGCTTTAGAATAATTAGATACTTTTAAAATACATAAATGGCACACTAAATATCCTAAATATAATAAGTATCACATAAAGATGGAAACTGAAAATTGTCAGTAGCCTATATACAAAAAAAATGAGATCATTCAGTAAGAAACATAAAGGAAAAATACAAGTAATGTGAAAACTATGTTTATCCAACAGAAATTTCTTCATAGTTTTCAAAATTTTTATAATGATCTAATTCTTAGGGATAAGAAACTCGAGTTCAGGAATAAAACATCAGGGAAATTAGTTTCCTACATATAATTTATTTTGAAATAGTCTACTTTAAGGACAACTCTTAGAGGAGTAGATAAAAATAAAGCTTGTTTAAACAATATTTTGTGAATATATATATATATATGTATATATTATTTTTACCTATGCGTGAGATATTTCGTAAACAATTTTCAAAATCAATGTACAACCTCAATCTCTTAAGGTTCATCTCACATTGTGTGATTATAATATAACTTTCGTAAAAGTAATTTATCTAATACAACTTCCTCTCATTAAATATTTCCATTTATTTATATTTAATGGAGTAATATTAGATACTAAATAGAGATAAACGCAAACACTTGTGGACATTAGCTACTTGATTTTTAAAATTTAAATTGATCTTGGAAAGAAAATAATTCAAGATGCAACCCGCTTCAGAGAATAGATGATATATATATATATATATATAATTAGCCATAATTCATTTATTTTGTCCTCAACAGAAAATGCATGCGTAGACATGACTCTACATCTTTAAGCATGATTAAAATTAAAAGATGACCCTCTTTGAATCCTATAAGATTAGAATATTAAATGCAAATAAAATGCGTAGAAAAACAAGGC